AGGGCTGGTCGAAACCCTCTGGTACTTGGCCCACGAGGGGAAAAAGTATTGTCCTCCTTTCTTTATTTCCAAGTTATACAAGGGGAAGCTGCCATTTTGTATGGGGCCCTTGGAGTTCCAGGTGCATGCCAGGGGTACAGTCCCCACAGAAAATATGGAGCTTGTCCTTTGTTTAACGAGCTTCGATTTCCCCCTAACTGCAACTCGTTGCCACACTATTGTTACAATAATGCTTTGGCGATCACATTTATTCGAAAGTAGTAATAAAATATAAACTAGTAAATTATAAAAATGTATTATTATGTTCATGTATTTATTTATTATTTATATATGTTTACTTATTAAATTTATACGTGTAAAATATGATAATTGTGTTTCAGCGAACATTTTCCGTACTTCAAAACTGCGCCGAACGGCTGGAAGAATTCAGTTAGGCACAACTTATCGTTGAACAAGTGTTTCGAGAAAATTGAGAAGCCAGCCGGCAATGGAAACCAGAGGAAAGGCTGTTTGTGGGCTATCAATCCAGCCAAGGTAGCAAAAATGGACGAGGAGGTGCAGAAATGGTCCAGAAAGGATCCTCTAGCTATTAAAAAAGCAATGATATATCCAGACCACTTAGAACTGCTTGAAAGGGGTGAGATGAAGTACGCAGGTAACGGCGACGTATCCGAAGAAACGGAAAGCTCTGGCGACGAGGCGGTCGAAGAAAGCACGGCATACGAGGAATCTATTCACGGTCATATAACTGCAAATTCAGTGACAGATAGTTACGATGAGAGCAGCCAAGATTGTGATATAGATATTCACGAGCATCTTTATGATGAAATTGACATCGAGGACAATAAGGAGGCGTTGCACATGCATCTAAATATTTCTAAGCAAGAACCGTTCGAATATGAGCTAAGTTCCAGTACGAAAAGGCAAAAGACATTAACCGGTGCAATTCAAGGGAATTACGTGTATCAACCAGTGGCTACTACGCGAAGAAAAGCACCTGTTCTTGTACGAGCCGGAACGGGGAACAGCTCATTTCTTAAGATCGATTAAACTTGGGTTTATTGTCTTATTATAAATTGCTAATTTTATATGTATCCGTATAGATACACATAAATCGTGAAGTACAACGCTTCAGGAAAATAGTTGATACGCAAGAAATATTCCGATCTCCTAGTCTACTCTTTCTTTTCCTTTATGTTCATTTTCTTAATACGATCAGTAATCCTATTATTCTATTCTTCATTTCATTTACTTACAAAACGCGAGTTTCTATCATATAACAGAAAGATTATAATGGAATATTAGGATTAACCGACACAGAGGACTTTCGTATTATAACAATACTAAGATAATAATTGTCGAGAAGCGCTATGAAAAGAATTTATTGTGTAAGTTGTACACCTTTTTCTATTTTTCTATAAATACTCGACTGCTATAATTATACAACCAATTGTGATTTTTCACGCGAGAACGCTTCGCTTCTGGATGATTATCTAGCTCGATAATACGCGAGTCTTCTGAAAAGAAATAAATGAACACTAAATGTATTAGATTTAGATTAAAAAGTAATGATATTGTGTTATTGATTTTTCATTCAATTCGCTATTGTATATTTATTTACATATGTGATTTCATCCCATAATTTTTGGATAACAATTTGGTAATTCTTTTGTCATTCGACTTCTACGAATCTTTTGGAAAAAAAGAAGGAATATTTTTGTATCAGATATTTTCTATTGACGGCAGTCAATGACTGTTACATTCATCACGATTGTAAATGGATTTGAATCATTTGATTTTTTTCTTTTTTTTAATCAACATGCAAAATAGATTCAAATGTATTCAGTTTTCTTCTGAATAATTTTTTACGTATAATTGACGTGTAACTGCTACGTAATTCATGTTGCAAGACAGATAGAGACGAAGAAAAAAAAAATAAGCATAAAATGTTAGGTAATAATGTAGATCGATAAGTATTTTGGTCAGCGAGTGGCCAGACTGATGTATTATACTTTTTTATACATTGCAGGACTAAGTAATAATAATTGTAAATTTTTACGCAATTGTATACCTGACAAATATGAAGTTACTTAGATTCGCATAACCAGGTAGAGTACAAAGACGAGACAGCTATAGGAGAATCTGAATTTGTAAAATTTTGTAGTATATGTAGAAACTTGGGAATCATACAGACACCTGAGGTAGTATCTTAAGTTTTCAACTTCTTTCATTTCGTTCTTCATTGCTTCTTTAATATATATATATATATATATAATAAAGAATATATATATATATAAATATATATATATAAATATATATATATATAAATTTAATTTAATTTAAGCATAGTACTGAAACGTTCCTCGATATTCAGTTTTAGGCCAGTGGAACTAGGTAACTTTCACGTCGAGAGTATAATTATTTTTTTAAGCAATGACTATATGTATATTTTTTAGTCGTTCGTCTCGAGAATAAAAGGAAAAAGGGACGATCCACTTAAATCTGCTTTGTATGTTTTAAGATGCAAAACATATTCCCAATATTATTTTAAGTGATGCGCGCAAATTACTAAACTGAAGCTGTGTCACTATGAAAACACATCGGAGAGAATTGTTATTAAAAATAAATCGGCAAGATATGCGCAATTGTATGAAATGTCACATTTCAAATCGCGAATTTTAATATACTATTCATTGTACCGATATTTAATTATACGAAAATAATCTGATTTGCATCGTAGCATTTTATATCTTTCCTTTATCTCGGATGTGTTTCGTAAATGCAGATATATGTTTTTATATTCACACGCATTTATGTATAAAAGAAGCGACATATTCTAAACGTAGAGAAGTTCAAAAAATTTAATTTGTAAATTTTAATATTGATGAAATGTTTGAGATAGATTCGATCGAAACCTGTAAATAATAATGAGCATCGTCTTTTTACAAACTAGTTTTACACCGATTGCAGTAGCTTCGTCTCGCGTAGACGTTGTAGGATATTACTTTAAGGTGTACAAAGGCTGCTTTTCTTTTTTATAAAACAAAATTTAAAAAAAAAAGGAAGAGAAAAAAACGGAAGAAGATTCGAAAACAACATGGGACCAATCGTGTTAAGAGTTTATCTAAGTTTGTATATTTAACGTATATATATCTTTTTTTGTTGGTTGTCCTGTAAAAATTTTGCTTAACGAACATGTACAGTCGCTGTAAATACTTTCATTTCTAACATAAGAATCAGTGAATTTCGACCGAACCACGCAATTTATAATGACATAAACATTTTTTTGTAAAAAAGAGAGAATGATTATACATGGATGGATGTTTAGTAAGTGTATTTTTTTTTTTTTATTAAAAGAAAAAAAATGAGCATAGAAATTAACAGTAAGATATTTAATGTAAGACGCATCAGTTTCTTCACAGACTTGATACTTTAATAGCAAACAAAAGCTATGTAGAATTATTTTGTTACTTTAGTTGATCGTCTAACTTAAGCATCTATTAATTTAATACACTGTCTGATCTCGACAAACAGGTAAATGTCACGGTTACTAGGTAAAAAAAATTTGACGAACATTATTTTTGGCTCGTGTACACCTTGAAGAATGCCATAATTACAATGGATGTATTTTTTTAATGCATTTTCAGCGGTAGGTGCTGCGAGAATCGAATGATAAATGCAAGTGTGTAATGTCACTTTTTTAGGCTCTTTGTAATTAAAAGAAAATTTTATAGGGATAGTGTGTAATCGCCTTCGAGTAATTGAATCCGTATCTGAAAAAAGCTTAGTATTATCAAGAAAGTATTCTCATTGATAGTGAACTACGAACTGACAAGCTACAGTCGTTGGGTCGTTTTACATGTCGAAAGCGTTCAAATTTTTCATTGAATGAAAATGTTATCTTGCAAAATTCCAAACCTCTTAAATAAGAACATATAAAATTAGATTGTGAGTTGTTCTTTGATTGAAACCTAGGTCAACATGTGTAAAGTTTTTATTAACATGTGAATAAAAGTACACAATAATATGACATAAATCAGTACTTATGGTATGAAAATTGTACTCTGTCGTGTTTTTCGATTGTGAAACGCAAATTTTATCGGGATTTCCTCATTCTAGTTGTTCCTTGTGTAAGAAGATCACTTGGGAAATATCAAATGAAAAATATCACTGCCAACAAGTGGTCAAAACATTAGAGGATTTTTACCATTGTTTCAAAGATCTCTTTGCATAATTGACGATATTTATATACACGCATATGATAAATTAGGGGTCTGATTGAAGTATCAAGTTTTTTTTTTATTATATATGTAACGTGAAGTATTATACAATTCGCCAGCTGGGTAACAAATTTACAGATACAAATCTGTATTTTACTCTTGAACTAAGTTGTTCATTAGAAAAAGAAGAAAAAAGAAATATATATTCACATTAAACAGCTGGGGAGTGATAAACAAATTTTTTAATTAAGAATATTGTACATAACAGATAGTGTCCATTGTGATGAAATATATTGATCCGTTTGATTGACTTAGGAAATTTGTGCAGAATCTGCATTCCATTCGAAGACACTTTTAAGTTTTTATTTCATCGTGAAAGTGAAACCGACGAAGATTCGATAGGGGATTTCTTCTCTTTTCTAAAATAAATAAATGAATTAAAAAACTGAAATATACGATTTGAAAATTATTCCATCGGTAAAGGGTTGAGTTTTAAACAATTTTTTTTTTTATAATCCATAATAAAAGTAACTAAGGAAACGTACAATAAGAAAGTAGTGTAGCTTTTGTACCTGTTTGTAATATTTCTATACGATATTATTAGCAATATGTAACATTCGTGTAGATGCAGCAGAGTAATTTGTAACAATAATGTATATGTGCAATGAGAAGTTTCAATAATAAAATGTTGAGAAATGTATTCGTCGCAGTGTTTGTTCTTTTTGTGTATACATATATATACATTTGTGTATACATGTATATACATTTGTGCGTGCGTGCGCGCGCGTGTGTGTAAAATAGGTGTTTAATTTCAATTTTTGGAGTTACATTGAGAAGATATATTCTCTCAATAGAATATATATCCTCAAACTGGAATTAAAAAATTGGAATTAAACACCTATTTTGCTCTCTAATGAAATGTGATTCTTATGTTATTTATTACTAGATTTACTATTAAATTTGACGAAGAATACAATAGAATCTATAGCTAATGTCCAGTGGCTTCAAATTGTGGGGGTACTGCAACCTTCGAAATATACGTGCATACTGTAAATACAGTGGATTTTTATTATTTTCTTTTACGCAAAATAGGAGAATTGAGAGAAGTAAATATAAATGAATTAGTAAATATACACATGTATATGAGAAAAATTGGGTGTGGTGCAATTTCGCAGTGGCTGTGCACGTGCAGCCACTGTTAATGTTAGATAACATTTCGACTAAAAACCGCCAAAAGTTGGCAGAAGAACGAGCTGGTCTCCTAATACATTTGAACTTATGGTCCACTCTGTGACGTCACAATCAAGGATAACGAGCGTGGAATCAACGCCATCTGTCGAAAATATAATCCCAGGTTAAAAATTGTGATTCTTTAATAAGAATGTAGAACTATCTAATACATTTAGTCAATAATTATATCATAAATTCCTCATGTTATTATAGATAGAATATTTCTTAAATTTTATATTCTATATTGTAATACATAATAAATAAATTAATTTGGTGTAAATATTTTAGACTGTTAATAACTAATCGATTAAATAGAGATTCATATTGAAAATTAAATCTTACTGTCCACAACTGTGTAACTAGTCACATACAGTCTAGATTATGAAGGGACAAGCGAAATATATGAATATACTTCATATAGTTTGTTTATGCTCAAGGTTTCTGAGCAATTAAATATTTTTCGATTTAATTTGAATACTATATATATATATATATATATATATATATATATATAGTGTCAGGAATACTATATATATATATATATATATATATATATATATATATATATATATAT